TTATTTTTTTTTATTTTTTGGGTCCGGTCGTGGGGCCTGAACTCTGGGCCTGGGTGCTGTCCCTCAGCTCTTCAGCTCAAGGCTAGCGCTCTACCACTTGAGCCACGGCGCCACTTCCGGCTTTTTTCTTTTTGCTTATGTGGTGCTGAGGAATCAAACCCAGGGCCTTGAGCATTCAAGGCAAGCGCTCTACCACTGAGCCACCTTCCCAGCCCACAACCAGCCCTTTTGGACACTTTCTGTTACTCTGAAAACACTCCAGCTGTAGAGACCATTGCAATGGAAGCCATGAATCCTGCTCCAGGAGGCCTTGCCCCAGTCACGATGTTTCACGCATGTTCCAGCCTTGGAAGACAGCACTCCAGGGAAGGGAGGCTGCAACGCGCTTTCGTTGACCTTACAGTGATTCTCAGTAATATGGGAGAGGGAGCACTCTTTAGGAGTGCTAGGAGCTAGTGACTGGTGCAAGGTGGGACCAGTTATTAGCCCTCATGCAAGGCGGCCTGTGATTGGTCCCTACACAAAGCCCGTAACTGGTGAAACTGGGAGCCATGCTGTGGTTGGTGCAAGTACAATCCTCTATTTGCATGCCATGACCATGCCACACCCGCCCTCCTGGCTCTATAACCAGGCTGTTTAGCTCACTTTGCCAATCAGGCAAGAGATATCCTCCTGTGATGTCTATGAGCGTTCAGCATTAGGCCCAACAAAACGCTTCTCCCAAATAGCTTTTCTTGTAATACCAAGTCTAGTGAGCTCATGCGGCTACATTCAGACGCAACAGTGGCAGTGGGGCAGCAGCAGTACAGCGGCAGCGGCCGTCAACCTCACAGTGGCTGAAGAGTTCCAGAATCTGAAGTGTGGTGGAGGGATACAGCAGGTGAGAACAGGTTAAGTGCCCAGGTGCAGAAGGCAGGAGCGGGAAGACTGCAGTCCTTGGTCTCTGCAAGTGTTCCTGGGAGCTGCAAAGGATCCTAACACTCAGGGACTCAGAAACTGCCACACCACCTGCTGTAAAGGCCAAGGGTCCAAATTCGCAAGATCTAGGAGCTGCAGCACTCGCTAGCACTCACTGCTGCTGTAAACGCACTGCTATTACAGCCAAGGATGTTATCACCACCCAGGGCTGGGCTGCTGGCAGTTAGAACCCAACACCCAGCCTCTAGCCTGGTTACCAGGGTCGTAAGTCTCCAGCGTCTATGCCGTAGAGTGCTAAATATCTAGTTCTCAAGAGCTAGGAGGCTATAAGCCTCTGAATCTGTCAGCCAGGCCTGTAAGCCCGAGGGCATTCAAGAGTTCAGGGCTACTCAATGATTTCCATCTGAGTAGACACAAGGACCCTGATCAACTCATTGGTAACAACTAGAGTAGCTGTCTATGCTTGTCTGGCATGAATACTGGCAATGGAAAAAACGAAAGAGAAAACATATTGCCATTTGAAATAATATTACACAGTTGTTTCTCAGCCTCTGTGAGGGACTGAGGCCAGGACCTGCCTCAAAGACCAAAAGCCCTTGTGCAAACGGCAGTGTTGGCACATAACCCACATATGCGCCATCTGACGCTTTAAATCATCCCTGGATTGCTCACAATACTTAATACGATGCCGACACATCACTTCATTCTCATGCATGTACCACAGCACACAGTACATGGCAAATTTTAGAACTTTCCAGATTTAAAAAGTAATTCCATCCCTGATTAGTCAAAGCTGAAAATGCAGAGCCCACAAGCACAGGGGATTAACTGTTATTAACCATATTACCAAAAGTATTTCAAGTGATAGGATCTTTTTTTTTTTTTTGGCTGAGCTGGGCACAATGTCTCCTCATGCCTAAAATTCTAGCTACTCAGGAGGCTGAGATTGGAGGGTTGCAAATTGAGGCCATCTAAGGCAAGAAAGTTCTTCAGACCCCATCACAGCTACCTAGACCACGGTGCCTGTCTATCATCGTAGCTACAGCAGGAAGTGTAATTGGAGGAGCATAGTCCAGGCTAGCCCATGGCAAAAATAACAACAACAACAACAACGGCAGTAGGGCAGCAGTACTATCATAACTAACCCTATCATAAAAATCACCAGAGCAGTGGTTGAAGTAGTAAGTGAGCCTGCCTAGTGGGCAGCGTGAGTGCTGTGCCCGCAGTTCAAACCCTTGCTTGTGCCAAGAAAAAAGAAAAGCCAAAACGAAAATGAAACACTTTAGATGAAAGCAACAAGCTGCTTTTTCAGTTCGCTGATGTCAAGTGCTAAATGATTACGAAAACATTTCTGATAGCAAGTGCAGAGAAAGGAACAAAGCCAAGTTGGACTCTTCAGGAAGCAGCTGACTCACCAGCCACCAAGTCAATCAGCTGCAAGTCAACATTTCAACTCTTCAAGATCCTTACTGTAAAACCAATGTGCATCTCAGCTCCCTTCGCTCTGTGGTGGGACTTGGTGAGAAGCAGATAAAAAGACCAAAAGAAATTGTACAATGCAACAGGATTCGGCTCCACCTCTAAGACATTTAGGGGAAAGATGGAAAACTTTAAAATATCAAAGAAATGTTGATTATTAGGTGTAATAATGGTGTCATAATTATTTACTACCTTTAGCTGTCACACTGAAATATATAGAGATGTGAAATGACTTGGTGTCAGGCATCAATAAAAAAAAGGGAAAGGAGCAGGACACCGGTGGCTCACGCCTGTAATCCTAGCTACTCAGGAGTCTGAGATCTGAGGATTGCAGTTCAAAGCCAGCTGTGGTGCTGTGGTGGTAGAGTACTTGCCTTGCACTGAAGAGCTGAAGGACAGCACTCAGGCCCAGCGTTCAAGCTCCACTACGGACGAGAGAGAGGGGGGGGTGGAGGGGGGGAGGGAGAGAGGATGACAAACACATTGCTTGTAAACACTGATGTAAATGCTAAGACCCAGTGAGAAGTATCGAGGATTCATTTGTGTAAAGCTCGACTTTCGTGTATATTTGGGATAAAGTAATTTCCATAAATGGTGAGGAATTTTCTAGGATATTGGTGAGCATTCTGATTGTCAGGTGCAGAGGACAGAAAATGTTTCCCTCACACAACACTTCCCAAGCTGGTCATCCAGAGGTCAGAGGGCATGGGCTTGGGAAATCATCGCGAGAGGTCAGGCAAGGGGCCCAGGGACACACTCACAGTCTCTTGGAAGCATTGACATGGTGGGTAATAGATAAGGACAAATGCAGGCTCTGTCTTCAGATCAGAGTTTTCTATTTGGCTTGCTACTAACAGCTAAGTGACCTTAGATGGAGTTACACAAAGTCACAAGAAGACAAGCAAATGCATGCACGCATGCACAAAGAGCACTGAGAGCTGGTCCACTTGAGGAAAGCCCCGAGAGCCAGCAGGTCCCAAAGGATGTATGCATTCTGTCATGGTCATCCGCACACTGGGGACAGAGAAGGGGGAAAGACAAGGCAGGAAGATCATCCTAGCTTACTCAGGAGACTGAGACCTGAGGCTCAAGATTCAAAGACAGCCCAGGCAGGAAAGTCTGTGAAACTCTTATCTCCAATTAACAACAACAACAAAAACAGAAAAGAGCCACACAACTGTGGCTCCAGTAATAAAGTACAAGCCGTGAGCCCCAAAGTCCAGGCCCTGAGTTCAAGCCCCAGGACCAACACACACACACGCAGGGTCTGTCCAGTGAGTCAGGTATTCATCCAAGAACTGACGAGAGAGATGAATTCTTTATCTTCCATCCCACATAAGTGGAGTACACAAGATGGCATAAATAAAATGGGGCACCAGGGGCTCACATCTATAATCCTAGCTCCGCAGGAGGCTGAGATCTGAGGATCAAGCCGGTTGGGGCAGAAATGTTCTTGGGATTACATCTCCAATCTACCAACAAAACGCCGGACTGGAGTGGTCGATAGGACATCGACTGGAAGCCAGCAAGCAGAGCAAGAGCACAAACAAGTCCCTGAGATCAAGCCCAGGACCCCCACACACATCATCAATGAGACATTCCTTCGGGAGAGGCAGGCTCGGGAATAAGGAAGCAGAGATGGATTCTATCCACACTGCCCATCCCAGTAGCCCGGACCTTAAGCATTTTCCTCTTCTGGAAAAAGTAAAGATTGGGCTGCTTTTAACATCTCTGTGTGAGGGGGATAAAACGAATCTGGGGCATGTTCTGGCGGAGGGAGATCTTTCCTGCGCTCAGCGTGAGTGGTTTCCTACTACATGGAGGAAAGGAACTCCCTCAGCCCTGTCCCCCTCCAGGCTCAGCTGTCTGTCCATCCAGACCCCCTCTTCCCCCCCTCCAGTTGTTGCTTGCTTTGCTTGGGTTGTGGTCTCCGTCAAGACAGACAGTTTCTCTCCCAGCCCGGATCCACAGACGAACAACGGCAGGGGAGCCCCAGATTCTGCCTGGGACTGGGGGTGATTTGGGGCCTGAAAGTTGTGGGCTCCTGGGGCTCACTCTACTACAGTAGGATTCAACTCCAAGGGGGTCTCGTGGAGTGGGGGGACCTGGCACACACGACCCACCCGTGGGTTCGCCGGTGCGGGTAACAGCGGGACAAGTGTCCTGGTACCAAAGCCGGTCGCAGGCTGTGCGCTCTGGGGTTACGGGGTGCTGCTCCCCAGGGGTCCCCCCTCTCCCTCCACCTCGAGCGCATCCCGTCCCACCACCGGAACCACAGCCAAGGGGGCATCATCCCCCAGCCCCGCGGCCCCGGCTCGCGTCCGGGGCGCTCCGGGCGCGCGCGCCCCTGGAAGCCGTGCGCCCAGCTTCCAGCCCAGGATCAAGGCCGGGCCGGGCCGGGCGCCCCGTCGGAGGGGGAAGCCGTCCGCCGCACGTCCTCACTGCGTTCCTAAGCACGAAGCCCGGGATCCCAGGACGCCCCAGGAATCCCAAGAATCCGAGCGGGGCAGCGGCGGCCCCGCGGGACGGGAGGCGGCCGGGACGCGCACCGGGTCGCCCCGCGGCCCCCGGGGGGGAGCGGGCGGTCCGGGAGGCGCTCTTACCTGGGCGGCAGGAGTCCGCGGCGGCCAGGGACTGGGCTCCCCACGGCGGCCCCTCTCCGCGCCGATCGCCCCTGCGCTCCGGCGCCCCGGGACGGAGCCTCGAAGGAAGCGGCGCCGAGTTCGCCCAGTCGCTCGCTCCGCCTCCCTTTTAACCTGGGCCGGCGGCAAACCCCGCCCCTTCCCCCGCCCCGAAGGCGGCCGCGCGTGGAAGCCCGGCCTCCGCAGCCTTTGTTAGAACTCCGGGGAGGCGGCGCCCCCGGGCCCCCGGGGACTCTGCGGGGGTGTGTGAGGGGGAACAGGCCTGAACTGGGAGGCCTGGGGGAGTGGGGGACACCCCCTCCCCCCCACACCCCCTCCCCCCCCTCCCCCGTCCCAACCCCACGTTTCCGCAGCTGGAGAAAAAGCAGCTCCTGAGGGTTGGTCCTAAGGCCAGACTGCCGGGCCTATCAAGCAGAGCCAAGGCTTCGCCGTGGGGAAGCAGCCCATCTCAGCTGCAGGACTGCTTTTAGAAAACTCCTCGTTACACTGTAACTCTAAAGGTGGGGGGAGGCTCAGGCAGGAGCCAGAGGCTCACACCTGCAACACTAGCTACTGGGGGGCGGGGAGGGGGGCGCGGAGAGCTGAGTGAGGATCGTGGCAGGAAAGTCCAACCATCCAAAGCCAGAAAGTGGAGCTGTGGCTCAAGAGGCAAAGAGCCAGCAACCTTGCGCACAAAAGCTCAGGGACAGCGCCCAGGTCCTGGGTTCAAGTCCCAGGGCCAGCACACTTACTGCACAAGCCCCTCACAGCTAGAGGAAGGTATGACTCTCAAATCTCCCCCCCCCCAACTTCTCCCCATCACTCCATGGGACACCGGGATAGTTCCTCCTTGACCCCTGGGTATTCCATTGGCCCGGCTAACCCTACACTCAGCACTTCAACCTGCGGCCAGTGTGGAAACCAGCTGCAGGCAGGCAGAATTTGTAATTGGTATCCAGCTGAAAGCACTTGAAAGCCTCTAAGCCGTGATTAAAGTAGAGTAGAGAGAGCCTGAGCCCGCATACTAGTGATTTCCAGACCCGAAGAATGGAGATAAACAATTGTTTAAAAACATACAGCTGAGCTGGGTGCCGGTGACTCATGCCTGTCCTCATAACTAATATGGAGGCTAAGATCTGAGGACGGAGGTTTGAAGCCAGCCTAGGCAGGAAAGTCTAATTAACCATCAAAAAAAACTGGAGATGGAGGTGTGGCTCAAGTGGTTAGAGCACCAGCCTAGAGCAAAAGAGCTCACAGAAGGCTCCCAGCACCTGAGTTCAAGCTCCAGTACTGGCACAAAACAACAACAACAACAACAAAAACATACAACTGAAGATCTTCACTAAAATACAAAAGAAACCAAGCAACTAAGTAACTATACACTGGTGGGTCTATTCTGTGTTGGGTAGGTTTTTGCTTGCTTGTTTTTTAGTCTTTTGATATAGGGCCTTACTGTGGAACCCAGGCTGCCTTTGAACTCCTGACCCCCCTGCCTAAGCTTCTTGAGTTGCTGGCTGGTCTATTGGTAATGGTGACTTGTAAATGATTTTTAGCAAAGGGTTGAGGGGCTTTGTCTCACCTGCTCTGGGACGGTGCTTGTGGATGTGCACATCACATATTCCAGCAATGCTGTGTTGACCAGCCTTGTTTCTGCTGCAGTTTCTCATCTACATATGGCCTTCTGTCTTGCACCGCTCCTTTTACAGAGCAGGCTTCCCGGTTGAGGAGGACAGCGCCCTGCTAGGAGGCCTCTCCCCCTAGTGGTCACTGACCCTCACAGCAGTGAGTCTTCCTCACCAGCAATGTTTTAGGGGAATAGGAAACTTTACAGAGAGTCTGATAAAAGCATGAGATTGACAGAAGACATGGAGCCTGCAGCTCAAAGAACTTTATCCCCTGGAGGACGGATCATCGGGGAGTTTAGGAGCAGCAAGGAGACCAAAGCCAGACCAAGAGGAATCCAAATCTGCAGGACAAGCCCCATTGTAGCCCACTGTAGTCCTGTGGTTAGGACACAGCCGCCTTTTCTCCAGGAAATGTAATATTTTACATTAAAATTTCTGGGTGAAGTATACATTTACATTTCACTCAGATAAGAAAACCACTTGTTACATCTCCCCATCTTTTTTTTTAATAGTCTCACTCTGTAGAAGTTGGCCTTGAACTCTGAATCTTCCTACATCTTCCTCCCATGATTACCAGATTACAAGCATGTACCAGGACTTTGGCCTTTAGTCTGAGTTTAATCATCCTTAATGCCATGTGTAATGGTACGGAAGTATTTATTTAAAAGAGGTCCAGACTCTCACAGTCTTCTCAAATGAAGAAAGCGAGGCAAGGATGTTAGGTGTTGGATATGAACTGTCTCCCCTTTGTATTGAAAGCTTGGGTCCCAGTTGATGGCAGTGTTTGTAGAAGGTTCTAGAAAATCTGATAAAGTGGTTTAGCTATAGTACATCCTGGAGGGAGTAATGCCCTTGAGGACTGTATTTTGAGGGTTGTACTTTGCTCTTGTCTGCCAGGAGGTGAAAAATCATTACCAAATTGCTCGGCTCATCAATGGCCCAGAATCAATGTGGCCAATGACTATGGACTGGTACTTCAGAGACCTCGTCTTCCTTTAAGTTGTTGTATTTCCTTACAGTGACAAAAAGTTAGCACAAAGATGATGTTCACAGTAGACAAGGAAGAGAATGAGGAGCTGGAAGGAAAAGCCCTCTGTGGTCCCATGACTAGCCTCCCCTCCCGCCCTGCCATCCTCAGCTTGGGCTGGCTACTTTGCCTTGCAATAACGTCTGGGGCTCGGAGTGCGGTTGAAGTCCAATTCTGTTTGATGTCACCCAGTATGTCTGCCATCTTGAAGCTGGACCGGTGTCAGTACAATTGGAGCAACCTGGGGAAGGTCCTGGGAAGGCTGGGGAGGTCCCCAAGAGACCAGACAGTGATCTCCACTGTGTGTGTCACCATCAGAGAAAGAAATCCAAGGCCAGACAAAGGAGGAACTGGGAGAGAGCTGTATTAAAAGAAGAGGTATACATTCAAGAGGAAGCATGAGCTTCTTAAGGGATATTTGCAGTTCATGGGCTTTTCTTGATGCACTCTGCACCCTCTGAGGGGTGCTTACAATCACTAGAGAGATTGTACATTAGAATCGCTAGAGTGATTCTTCAAGGACTATTTAATTGCTTTGTTGTGTCAGGATGCAGCTTACAAGGTTGGCTGTGATGTCTACCATCCAAGATGGTTTTCTTTCAGCATAGAGTCTAGTTTCACAGAGTGTATGGTTTAGGATTTTTAAGTTCTCCCCTTTGGCCTTTTCCTGCTCCCTGTCAGCACCCTGTCCCTGATTTTCAAGCACCAATACTGTCACTATGCACACACACAAGGTTGAACCTTGGAACTGAGCCAGCCATGCTACCCTCTGGTCCTCAAACTCTTCACCTTAAAATGTAGAGACACCTCAGAATTCTTGTAAGGCTGAAACAAAGTCATAGGTGTGAGGTTCTGAGAGTGAGTCTGGTGTACAGCAAGTGCAGCTGGTTTTATACTCATTTACTTGCAATTAGTTACTTATTAGACACATAATCACCTCAAATGGACAACTTGTTTTCTAGCTATGTCTCAATTGTTTAAAGAGAAGTTTAGGTTAAAAGAAAACTTGAGCAGAAGGTACAAAGAGCTCTTACAAAGGCCCTTTATACAGTAATTTCCTCTTATTAACATCTGGCATTAGGGAAGTATATTGGTTACAACTGATGAAGCAATATTGATACATTATTTTAAAGTACAGTCTGTAATTTACACTCTGGTTTATAATTTGTCCACTGTGTGCTATGGGTTTGGATGAATGTATAATGTATCCATCATTACTTCTTATACAGAACAGATTAAAATATAAAATAGAGTATACAGAATAAAAAGTATAAAATAGAATAAAGTATAAAATAGAATAAATTTCCCCTGAGTTCCATCTATTGATCCTTTCTCCAACCTAAACCGTGGCAAACTCTGACCTTCTTGCCATCTGGTTTTACCTTCTGAAGAATGTCACTTAGCTGGAATCATAAGCATGTAGTCTTTGCAGGCTGGGTTCTTTCTCTTAGAAAAATGCAGCTTTGTAGCCCATATTTTATTATTGACTAACGTTCTACTGTGTGGTGTGTCCTGCTTTATCTTATTGAAAGACCTTTGGGTTGCTTCTCCATCCTGGTGATTATAAACAGAGATGCTATAAGCATTTGTGCATGATCTTTGTGTGGACAGTAGGTGTTCAACTTCTTTGGATAAGTGCCAAGGAGTGCAAATGCTGGATCTTTATGGGTAGGAGAATTTTTTGTTTTGTGAGAAAGCAGAAAACTATTTTCCAAAGGGACTGTGTCACTTTGCACGCCCACCAACAGCAGACGAGTGTTCCCGGTACTCCACGCCCTCTCGGCATTTGCTGTGTCAGTGTTCTGGATTTGGGCTAGTGTACCAAGTGTGCAATGCTGTCTTATTGTTGTTCAGTTTTCAGTTCTCTGCTAACAGGGTGTGAGGCATCTTTTCACGTTTGTTGTGCATCTTGTGTCCACCTTTTCTGGGCAAGTATCCCAATCATTTGCTCACTTGCAAGTTGGGTGTTGGGTTTTAAACATTTTCTGTATACTTAGAGCACAAGTCCTTTATCAGAGTATGTATTTTTGCCAAGATTTTCTTCTCTGAATAGTTTTCTCACCAGGCACCTAGAATACCAGTGTGCACATGTGTGTACATTCATGCGGGCATGCGTGCATGCACTCAGGTGCATGTAGAATACTCTGCCTTGGGAAGGAGGTGGAAGGAAGGTATAGAAATTAGTATCACTTGACAAAGTCCTCAAGCGGCTCACATTTTGATTTGGGAGAGACAATCAATCACAAAGATATTAAATATGAAATAGATTAAAAAAAAGCAGTATGAGACTCTTATCTCCACTAAACCACTCAGAAAACCAGAAGTGGCGCTGTGGCTCAAGTGGTAGAGCACTAGCCTTGAGCTGAAGAGCTGAGGGACAGTGCCCAGGCCCAGAGTTCAAGTCCTACAAC